CAAAGTCTCGCACCTCTGCGTAGACACAAACTGTCTGATATCTCTCTTGAGCATACTCAGATATCGGGACATCTGAGCCTGCTCCGAAGCGAACTCAGGGCAAAACATCACCCTCTCAGTGAACATCCTAGTGATCTCCGTCACCGACTCCGAATCATGCTTCATCTTAAGAAACTCCTAAGCCAATCTCTCCCTCTCAACCCACGGCACATAACGAGTGTTGAACATCTCTCTGAACTGATCCCATGAAACCACAACCCTCTGCGCATCCGAATATGACCCCGTGGTCAATCTCTACCAATCCTTCGCCCCGAGCCTCAACAGGTTCAGAGCACACCTCACCCTCTGATTAGCAGGGCATGAACACGTGAAGAAACACCCCTCCACGTCCGAAAACCATCTCATAGCAACAATCGGGTCCTGAACTCCATCAAAGGTAGGAGGCTTCGTATTATCGAAGTCCCGATACTGAAAACGTCGACCGGCTCCTTCCTCTACCACTGCTACAGCCGCTGTAGCCGCCACGACAGCCGTCTCAGTGAGAGCCACATAGCACTCATCAAAATACTCAACCATGGCGGTCTTGATCCACCCAAACAATTCTGGCAACCGTTCTGGAAGCTCGGCCTAGAACAACGCAGCAACCTCATCATGCAGGATCTCACGAATCCTAGCATCCAACTTGCCTGTGCTCATCTGACCAATAACCTCGGGCGGTACCGACCCACCCTGACCGCCCTCTCCGGCTCCTGATCCTGACCCGGATCCACTCCCAGCATGCCTCGTGATTACCATACTGAAAAACACCATAAAATCTCAGACACTTCCCACTATCCCGGGAATCAACTCTCAACCCAACCCTAGAGGTCATGGTTTCCCTGATACGCGTATGGGTCCTGTGCTTTCAGTAGTACGGGCCCATACTACCTTCCACACCTACCCATATTTGTATGAAGTACTACCACAACACCCTAGTGAAAAACATACATAACAAGTGCTCAATCCTCACTCCTAGAGGAACACCGAAAATCTCCCACAGAGGACCCTAGGCTAGCAGACATCATAAATCAGGCAACACTATCATGAAACCCTGAAGATCTCTAGCCTAGTACTAGCATGTTGATCTATCAAAGCTCAAAAAAAATATCATGTATGGTATTTTGGGGTTACTTACTGGCTCCGGCTGATCATACCTCCGCGTCCTCCTTTCATTTTGAAAACCGTTTTAAATTCTCTTTTAAAAAACTCTCCCTGATTTGAGACTGGATTCACACGAATGTTCCTCCAATTCACTCAAACCAAGGCTCTGATACCAACTTGTAACGACCATAAAATTCCAACCAATTTGAACTTTTCAAAAACATCCCGATTTCATAAAATTATTACAAAAAGGTTTTCAATACAATTACTTTAGAGTATTCCCAGTATCACAAAACATAATCATGAGGAGCGGTACGATCACGCCTTTGCCTTGCCACGGTCTCCTGAAGAACCTGAAAAACATTGAACCACAACTGTAAGCCCGAAAGCTTAGTGAGATATCCCCAAAATATCAACCACATATACCATACACACATAACATGCCATATCATAACAGAACACAGAACAACCATGCACTTCGGGTCTACTGTGTGACTGGTTCGCCGCACTGGCCAACAGTCCACCTGGTCCACCCTCCGAGTCTAGCCATATACATCGAGTCTACAGTGTGATTGGTCCGCCCGCTCCGAGCCTTCAATCCACCTGGTGCACTCTCTAAGTCTACAGTATGACTGGTCTGCCCGCACTGGGCCTTCAGTCGGCCTGGTCCACTCTCCGAGCCTCGGCACGTCTGGTCCGCCCTCTTGGGGACCTACAGCCTATCCGGACCGCTCGCTGGGCCTTCAGGACAACTGGTCCGCCCTGGGTATCTTGGCCTACAGCATAAAGCAGGACCCGCCTCAACCCAACCCCAGTCCAACAACCATGTGCACATAAACATACAATCATATAACAATTCACAGTCAACAAGCCGATCCAGCATATCACATAACATATCATCATCCTAACCAGGATACCGACCTAACAGGTCACTAGCATAGCATCAGCATACATACCAGGATACCGACCTTAACCTGGTCTCTAACATATACCATCCTAGCTACCAGGATGCAAACATATCAGAGCAATAACATAACAACAAATACCCGGATCTCAACCCGATAAAGGGCCGACCTTGGTGCCTTAGACCCTGTTGATATAGTGAGGATAACTCACCTCGCAACTGCCGACTGAACAGATAAACCCGAGCTGCTCTGACCACTGATAAGATCTCCACCACTGGCCAACCACCAAAACACTGAACTCAAAACAATATCCATAATTACCAAAATGCCCCTTGAAAATAACTGGTCAACCCTTGGTCAAAGTCAACCCCTGACTGACTCTACTCGCCGAGTCAACCCAATGACTCGTCGAGTCCACATACACAGAACTTCCCACATCCGCGACTCAACTCGCCGAGTCACCCCGAGACTCGCCGAGTCCAACAACTCTGAGTCCTTTCTCACTCGACTCACCGAGTCATCCCTTGACATACCGAGTCACAGCTTAACCAGAATAAGCTTGGACCTCACGACCAGACTCGCCGAGTCCAAGGCTATCTTCAACCTACTCGCCGAGTTGTTCTTCCAACTCGCCGAGTTCCAACCCATCTTCAAGCAACTCGCCGAGTGCCTCTAGATCTCATCCCATACAGAAACCTTCCAAGCGATGCAATTGATCCAAAACGTAGATCTACCCTCCTACAACCCATCCATCACGTAAAGTGGAAAACTTTACGTGAATCCAAAGAGATCTAGGCATTTACAATCTAGGGCTAGGGTTTGGGATAAGATGACTTCACCAAACACTCAAGAACGGTGACTTTAATGCACTCCCGACCTTCTCCATTCCAGATCTGTGGTAGCAACCTCAGATCTATCCTTCAAACTCAAGATACCACAAGCTAAACTTCCCACACATACCAAAAATGATGAATCTAGATGAATAGCAGCCTAAGAAATGAGATAATACCTCAAAAGGAAGCCTCAACAGCAAAGAAATCCGAATCTTAGCGAAGCCCCTTGCTCCAAGCCTCCTAACTCTCCAAGATCTCCTCCAAAATCTATTCTCCAAGGCTCAAATGCACTCAAATCCTTCATAATCGCGTTTCTAGGGTTTTCTAGACTTCAAGGGAGGGTAAGGAGGCTGGGGAGAGGGTATAATGTCCTTTATATAGGGCCCATCCTCCGAAATTAGGGTTTTCTCCACTCAGCACCAACTCGCCGAGTCCAGCCGCCGACTCGCCGAGTTGGCCACTTGACACGCGACCAGAGTCGCGACCCTACTCGTTGAGTCCACTCATGGACTCGCCGAGTAGCCCTTTCCCAAATAAACTTTTAACCCTTCGACTCTACTCTTGATATTCCGGGATGTTACACTACATCTGCAGATGTCATATTTTAAACTATATGTATGATTTCTTATTCAATAACCATGGTGATGCTAAAAGTGCCAAGGAATTGTAGGACATCCTTGAATCAAAGTACATCGTTGATGATGCTTCTAGCAAGAAGTTCATGGTAGCAACCTTAATAACTATACAATTGTTGATTCAAGGTCTATCGTGGACCAATACAACGAACTGCTTCGCATTATGGGTCAATTCAAACTACACAAAATGAATATGGATGAATCGATTGATGTGTCAAGCGTGATTGATAAACTTTCACCATCACGGAAAGACTTTAAACATAACTTATTTGATAAAACTGGCAATTCTCGTCAGTTTTTGAAACCATCAATCATGCCATTAATTTCAGGATTGCTTGACCACTTCCGAAGATGAGAACCCTAATCGAAACCCTAGTGTCAAGTATAAATACAACTATTTTCTGTGAGTGGTTAGGGATTTTTCTCAGTTCTTCTTTTTCTCGAACAAGCTAATAATCCTTCTAGCAATTTGGCTTATATTTCTGTGCCTAGATTCGTAAGTGTCATTTTGAATTATCTTAGACCGGAATTCTGATAACCCGGGCATAAAGTTAGAAATAAGTTTGAAATGAGAACCTAGGTGATCCATTGAGAATCCAGAACTCCACCATAAACCCTTTTATAACATGACACCCCTCCCCCTCTTTTTTTTTTTTTTTTTTCTATCTCCCCTACAACACCGACCAACCCCTCTTTGTCTTTATTTCTTTGTGCTTGAAAACCAGAGCGACAGTGGCCGGCAAGGCGGCAACATCCAATGATGGAGAGCCCGACAGGCCGACACCCACTAGTGATTTCAATTTGGGATTTCTACCCTCGTTTAGTTAGTTTCCTATATTTGGGGTCAATCTGGAATTTCGATGTGTTTGTTTCCTGTTAAAATTTGGATTTCGATTTATTTGTTTCAGATTTGAGTGGGAGGTGGTGATAAATAATGGTGGTGGTGATATAAGGTGCTTGTGTTATGCTATCATTTACTCCAATAATAATTCTAAATAGCAAGAAAGTATAAAATCAAAAGAAGACAAAAACATAGGCATTATAGTCATTTGGTATGCAAGCATGGTAAATAAGGACCAAAAAGCTGATTGATTTTTCAACACTGAGTCAAATTTCCAAAACTATGACCACATCTCGAGATTTTTGTATAGTTTGTAGCACATGGACCAAAACTGTAATTTACTTCTTTATTAGTTATTAAGGCATCAATGTTGGGTTATTCAATTGTACTGGTACTTAATAATAAAAAAAAGTCATTATTATAAAGAGAAGCACAGGCCACGTTGAGAAGTCACGTGACGAAAAATAGTGGTGCCCAGCTGCCAACTAGAAGAATGGTACAAAAAATTATTAAAAATATAATAGCTATAAGCCTATAGCATCATACCATGATTTTTACTATAAAACAAGGCTTAATCCTTCTTTCCCGAACACTATTTTCATCTACATCCCTAATACATACCAGTGCTTCCATTTCACTATAAGCAATGGCTGAAATTGTTGTTTCTACCTTCTTCACGGTGGTCTTTGAAAAGCTGGCTTCTGAAGCTTTGAAGAAAATTGCTCGTGCCAAAGGAATCGATTCCGAGCTCAAGAAATTGAAAAGATCACTAGGCCAGATCCACGCTCTGCTTAATGATGCTTCTCATAAGGAAATAACTGATGAAGCTGTTAAAGCATGGCTGAATGATCTCCAGCATTTGGCTTACGACATAGATGACCTACTTGACGATTTGGCAACTGAAGCTATGCATCGTGAGTTGACCGAGGTATCGGGAGCCACCACCAGCAAAGTAAGAAAGCTAATCCCAAAATGTTGCAGCAAGTTCTCATTAAGTAGTAGGATGCAATATAAGTTAGATGATATTAGCACCAGGTTACAAGAACTAGTGGACGCAAAAAATGATCTTGGTTTAATTGTAGTGACAAATGAAAAACCCAAAATTGTAAGATATGAGGCATGTTTGGTAGATGCAAGTAGTATTGTTGGACGTGAAGGTCATAAGAAGGCATTGGTTCAACAACTTTTGGTGGGTAAAGATGAATCCTGTAGTCATCAGAACTTTAGTGTCGTGCCCATAGTTGGTATGGGTGGAGTAGGTAAAACAACTCTAGCTAGACTTTTGTATGACGAAAAGGAAGTGAAGGATCACTTCGAACTCAGGGCTTGGGTTTGTGTTTCCGATGAGTTCAATATCTCCAGTATAAGCAAAGTTATTTATCAATCTGTGACTGGGGAAAACAAGGAATTTGCAGATTTAAATCTGCTTCAAGAAGCTCTTAAACAGCAACTTATGAAGAAACTATTTCTAATAGTTTTAGATGATGTGTGGTCTGAAAGCTATGATGACTGGGAAAAATTAGTGGGCCCATTTCTTGTGGGAGCTCCTGGAAGTAAAGTTATCATGACGACTCGGAAGGAGCAATTGCTCAAAAAGCTGGGTTATGCTCATGTAGACTCACTACAGAGTCTGTCACATGACGATGCTCTGACTTTGTTTGCTCAACATGCATTGGGTGTTGCTAACTTTGACTCACATTCAGCACTTAGACCACTTGGTGAAGGGTTTGTGAAAAAATGTGATGGCTTGCCTTTGGCATTAAGAACACTTGGGAGGCTATTGAGGACAAAAACAGATGAGGAAGCATGGAAAGAGCTGTTGGATAGTGAGATATGGAGTTTAGGAAATAGAGATGAGATTGTTCCGGCTCTAAGACTAAGTTACCATGATCTTTCTGCCTCTTTGAAAATGTGTTTTGCATACTGCTCCTTGTTCCCCAAGGACTACGAGTTTGAGAAGGAGGAGTTGATTTTATTGTGGATGGCTGAAGGGTTTTTGCGCCAATCGACTACAAGCAAGTCAATGGAGCGTTTGGGTCTCGAATATTTTGAAGAGTTGTTGTCAAGGTCGTTTTTTCAACACCTGCCTGGTGACAAATTGTTGTTTGTGATGCATGATCTCATGAATGACTTGGCTATATCTGTTGCTGGAGATTTTTTTTCAAGGTTAGACATCGAGGTAAAAAAGGAATTTAGGAAGAAAACTTTGGAAAAGTACCGCCATATATCATTCCAGTGTGATGATTTCATGGGTTATGAAAGGTTCGAGGCATTCAAAGGAGCTACAAATGTGAGAACATTCCTAGCATTGGATTCTACGAGGCACACAAATCCTGGATCATTCAGCTTTTCAGATAAGATTTCGGCCAACTTAGTTCAACAGTTACCATTACTAAGGGTTCTATGCCTGAGTTACCTGACAATAAGCGAGGTTCCAGAGTGTGTTGGTAGTATGAAGCACTTGCGTTATCTGAACTTATGTCGTACCCACATCAGAAGTTTACCAGAAAATGTGTGTCGTCTGTATAATTTAGAGACATTGATAGTTTATCGCTGCACTTTTTTAGCTAACTTGCCTGGGAACTTCTCAAAGCTTAAGAATTTGCGTCATTTTGACTTTAGGTGTACTCCGCTTGTGAAGAAAATGCCCTTAGGTATTGCTGAGTTGAAAAGCCTACAAACTCTCTCTAAAATCATTATTGAAGGAGACGATGGATTTTCAATGACCAGCCTTAAAGACTTAAAATATCTCCAAGGAAAAATTTCCATTACTGGGCTGGAAAAAGTGCAAAGTGCAATGCATGCACAAGAACTGAACTTTTCCCAAAAGAGGATAAGTGAGTTAGAGGTGGAATGGAGTGATGTATTTGATTGTTCTCGAAAGGAAACACTTGAAAAGGAGGTCCTCTGTGGGCTGAAGCCTCACAATGATGATTTGATAAAGCTTGGAATAGTGTCATTTGGAGGTAAAGAGTTTCCAAATTGGGTTGGGGATCCCTCATTTCTTCGGTTGGCTTGTGTGTCGATACATGGTTGCAAAAAATGTACATCTCTACCACCACTTGGGCAGCTACCTTCACTAAAGAAGTTGTCTATTCATGACATGGATGAAGTGAAGGTTGTAGGCTCGGAATTACCTGGAAATGGTCTTGCATTCCCTTCACTTGAAAGTCTATCTTTTGTTAATATGCAGGAATGGGTGGTATGGTCAGGTACAGTTTTTCCATGTCTTCGAAAGCTTTGGATAAGTGATTGTCCTAAGTTGGTTAAAATCTCACTTGAAGCACTACCATCACTAAGGGAGCTAACAATAAATAACTGTGGTCATGAAATGCTAACAAGTATAGTTGGTGTAACTTCATCAGTCACCCAGTTTAATATAAGTTACATCCGTGGTCTAACTGACCAGCTGTGGAGAGGTGTTATAGAGTATCTTGGGACAGTTGAAGAAATAAAAATTGAACGGTGTAATGAAATAAGATACTTGTGGGAATCTGAAGAAAAGTCAAGTAAGGTACTTGTAAATTTAAGGAAGTTGGTAGTGTATTTGTGTTCAAATTTGGTGAGTTTAGGAGAGATTGAGAACAACTGTGGCAGCCACCTAACATCTCTTAGGATCTTGGAAGTAAAGTTTTGTCACAGATTGGAGCGTTGCAGTTGCCCAGATAGCATTGAGACGTTGAATATACGTGGGTGTCATTCGATTACGTCTGTTTCTTTTCCATCAGGAGCGCAGAAACTCAAGTCAGTTACGATTGATGGTTGTAAGAAACTATTAGATAATGTGGTGGGAGGAGAAGATGTGACTAGGGTGCTTATGAACTCAAGCATGACCATGCTTGAATCTGTAGAGATAAGTTGTTGGCCAAACCTGAAATCGGTCATTGAATTGAGTCGCTTCATTCACCTCACCAAATTGGAAATAACAGATTGTCCAGAGATAGAGTCATTTCCAGACCACGAGTTGCCCAATCTCACTGCCTTAAAACATCTGACAATAACAAATTGTCCAAGTATGGATGCTTCATTCCCTTGTGGGCTTTGGCCTCCCAAACTGAGTCACCTTAAAATAGGGGGGTTGCACAAGCCAATCACAGAGTGGGGCCCACAGAATTACCCAAGCTCACTTGTTGAACTACGGTTAATTGGTGTTAGAGCAGATCTGAGTAATTTTAGTCAATTGTCCCATCTTCTTCCTCCATCTCTTATTTATCTTGGCATAAATAAATTTGAGAATCTGGAATCACTTTCAACCGGACTCCAACATCTCACCTCCCTCCAACGTCTCTCCATTTTCATGTGCCCAAAGACGATAGATCTACCAGAAATGTTGTTGCCTTCACTTTTGAGTTTGAGAATCTATAGTTGTCCAAATCTGGAACAACGGTGTAGTAAAGAAGGCTCTTACTGGTGGCCCCGCATTGCCCACATCCCCTTACTCGACATATTCTGAGGAGTTACCAAGTTGATATGAAGGTATGCACCTCCCTCTGTCTTTAATAGTATGCAAATATCATATCAACATAAGTATGTATATAATCAAACGTTATCTTTTTTGTCTCAATATATATTGTTGTTCGTATCGACATGAAATTGCTTTTCTCTTTCTATTTTTTTTTGTCGTTGAATTCAATTAAAGTTTTTTTCATGGAAGAGCCAATCCCCCCTAATAAATGAAAGTAATTTTACCACATGTCATTATCTCATTAACTTGGACACATGTCATTTTTTGGTATTTTTGATTAAATGTTTTCTCTATTTGTCATTTTTTTTTATCTTTTCTTAATTCATAAATTATATTTACACCTCAATTACTCATTGCCTTAATTGAAAATAACCAATAAATTACAATATTAGTATTCATATAGTATTTAATATGTTTCCTTTTCAATTCAAAATTTAAATTTTAAATTTCAAATCTAAAATTTCAAACTTAAATAAAATTTTGTTTAAACTTTTATATTTAATTTTTGTTTTTATCAAACCCATATAACATATGGGTCTCACACCTAGTTAGATATAAAAATAAATCAGAATGGTTGACACGCGTAAATATCTTAAGAAAAAAATATTATATGTGAAATTCCAAATTAAATTGTGAACTTGGATTGATTGTAGAAGTTTCATTAATTGTTGAAGCTGTACAATTTTGATTCTGAAATCACGTTAATAACAGTTTAATAAACTACAAGCACAAATATGTTAAGATTATGAATCACTTTAGATACATAAGATATCTTAAATAATGCACTGTATTTCCTAATAGCTTCATATGACTTTATCCATTAGAAAATGTCAAGTTATCTATTGCTTATTTGAGGATACATTTAACTCCAGGGATTAATGGGTCAAGTGTATGGATGCTTAATTGCATCATTCAAATTTGATTTTTCTTTTTTCTGTGTTTGAGAGTTAATTTGACACCAGAACAAAAAACAGAGAACAACTTGTACTCTTTGCCATATAACTTTTGTAACTCATATTTCTTTGTGAAATTTCTCAGAACACTACAAGAAACTGGAATCATGTCCAATGGGACTTCAACAGTATTGTTGCTTCAGTTCTCAATTTAAAAAATCTGTAGAAAGAAAGGATTGGTAGGAGATACTGCTACTGGCATATCCCCTAGGGATTACAAATTAATATGAAGGTATTCCTCTCTCTACCTTTGATTTGCTGTAGTTTAGATACGCATAATGTTAGTAGTTGATTTTGCTTTTATTCAAAATGCAGCTTTTTGATATTATCTCAGCATAAAAAATGTTTCTCAATATCATAAAATACTTTTGTTTTTTATATGAATGTGATTTTGGTGTGAACAGGGAATAGCCGACGATGGATTGCAAAATATATGAAAATCATTACTGATTAATACGATTTACATCCAAGGAGTAAGAGATTAGATGTCCGTGGATGCAAAAAATTTTAGAAATAAAAGAGTCAAGAGGAAATACAAGATTAAATGCTGGTGTTGCTTCAGATCTACAAGGCTAGTTCCTCTCAAGCTGCTTGCAGATTGAAAAATCATTATGTAGCTTCCAAAGTTGACTTCTTCTGGTTATAATCAAGGTAAGGTGGCTACTCGTTGTTAACTCCACCAACGATGCCTCTGTTTATTGATCTCCTTATATCTAAAATGATGATATTGAGCTGATTGATTTTTATAACTTTACTATTGATATATAAGAGAAATTCTACTTAGATATTCAAGTCTAAGAGAAATTTAAAATCGAGACATTGTTCTCATTGATATTTCACAAAGTTGAATAGATCAAAATTATGGTTTATAGAAATTAAACCCTAAGAAGGTTATTTCGAAAATGTCATAGGGTTCTTGAAACCATAGCCACCACCCTATATTTTCGAAATCTACAAGGGTTTTAGAAACCCTAGCCCCCTTCCCTAATTTTCTATATTTTAGAATCCCTTCTAAGGTTTGCTATGTTTCTTTATTTGTTATTTAAGAGGCTTAAAATTTGGACAATTAAAACCTAGTAAACCATAACCTTTTTCCAAAAAAAAAAAAAAAAAAAAAAAAAAGAACAATAAAAAATTTGAAGGCTTATGATAAGGATTAAATTAAATTTTTATTAACATAGACATATTTATATTATGGACTAATACTTCAAACACTCTTTTATCCATGTTCTTTACAACGAATATCAACACATATGTTTTCACCCCAAGATCTAGACCATATTCAGGATCTTCAACATGTTTTAACATCTTTGACACATAACACTTTGTTAAACACCTTATACAAAAGATCAGACCAAACGTTCTAATTTGTTGACAAAGTTCTTAATGTGATTTTTGACTAAAACAATATATATATATATATATATATATATATATATATATATATATATATATATATATATATATATATATATATATATATATATATATATATATATATATATATATATATGGAGTGGTTTAAATAGGAACCACAAAATATTAAGAACCCTAAGAACCCCCATTTAATAAGTATATATGTATTGTGAATATTGTTAAATATATTAAAATCTTAATTTTTGTCTTTTGGTAAGAAAATAACAAAATCGTACTCTTTTTAGTCTAATATTTTCATTTATATAATCATTCCTTATTCTTAACATAAAATTTATATAAAATACAACTGTACATAATCCATTTATAATTTAACACACAAAATTCACAACTTAATACAACGTATTTTTATATTAATTCATAAATTCAAAAAAATCAAACCCAAAATCTACCACCACGACAACCACACGCTGCCACCAATCACTTATGCAACTTCGCAACCATCTTTTCTTGTAAATCAGATTTATATATAAAGTCATGCAATGAAAGGGTAAATACTACATTCATAATTTAATAAACATATTAATTCACTCATTTTGAATTTAATACAAAACAAGTAAAAAAACTAATGTATTCTTACATACTTATACAACACAAAAAATAAATATATTCACAAGACCATTAATACAAAAATTCATATAAATCATTTATATTTTAACACAAAATCTATAAAAAAAAATCCACTGTAAATTGCAATCAGTTCACAACTTAATATAGTTAATTACTGTCTAATACATAAAATTCACAGCTCAATATAATAGATTAACAATTTAATACACTGAAATTTCATATTCTTAAATTAAAACGTACATTTATACTTTCAAATTCGAAGGCTAGTATTTTTTTCAAAGTTTAATTTTACACAATATTCTTAATTTAAATTTTTGTAGAATTTATTTAAATTTAGAAAAAAAATCATATATGTGTATAATGATTATTTCTTCTTATATTTCTGAACCAAACACATAATTCCTAAAAAGATACAGTCATGTCACAACTTAATGCGACAACCCTTTATTTTCTATGTTGTAAAAAGTCAAACATATCAAATAAAAGTCAAATTTATTGTTTTGTTAATTTAATAAAGTTAAAATAAAAAAATTGATATGTATTAGCCTTGTAAAAGTGTTGTAAGAATTAGAAGTAAAATCATTTAAAAACCTAGAACCTTCTCATCTAGATCCTTCTCGCACCGCAAACCGTTTACAACCACAAACCTCAAACAACAAACCTCATTTTCGCCCGTAAACTTCTTCATACTGAAAACCTCGCAATCTGATCCCTTCAGACCGCAAACTCTTTCCTTGGTTTGTGTTCTCGGCCGGAAACCCACAAGTATATATATATATATATATATTTATATAAGTTGCCCGAAAATATACCTCATTTTTACATCCTTAACCGAAAACACTCACAAATCCCCTCAAGAACACTTCAACCGAAAACACTCTTTTCTCTCAAGTATCATGCGAAGATCACTTGAATCTTCCTAATTTCATACTGATTTCTTCAAGTATTCATCGCATCTTTTGAAAATCATCATCCACTCTCCTGATTTCCAACCGAAAACACCCCTATATCACTAGTGTTCACGAAGAACACGAAGAACACCCACACAATATTATAAGAATTATTGTAAGTCCTTTTACAATAATTAATTGTTGTTTAACACTTTAAACAATTCTAGACTATCTAATTTATACTTAATTTTATTTTAATATAAATTAGGATTCGGTTTTTATCACGAGTTCTAACTTGTGGATTTAGCCCTACTACACCGTATCTACAACCGGAAACTCACAAAAGGTGAGTTCATACCCTTGTGTTTTTACTATTTTTCACTATTTTAGGGGGGGGGGGGGGGGGATACAAGTCTAAACACAAGGACACTGTGTTTACAATTATATAATTTCTAAATATTTCTAAAAATGATTTCAAGTTGTTGAAACACTTTTAAATACTTTCAAACTCCTTTAAATGTCTTAAAAACTCTTTTAAACTTATATTTTTCTAAAATCATATATATATATATATATATATATATATATATATATATATATATATATATGTGAATATAAAAAGTTACTTCAATAAGATTGATTACCCTTTTGTAACATGTTGAGCAAAAGGGGTACTTTCACGAATAATTCACATCAAATAGAATACACATATAAATAATAATATGTATAATTTATGGAACTCTCACACTATTTTCACTAGTCAAGTATACAAGGTTTAACTTTACACTCTAGTACAAATTACATTACAAACACTTTACACTTCAAGAATACTAGAAAAGGAACATATTATCAGTTCAACTATTTTCGAATGACTTTTCATCATTATTACACACGTAATCGTCAATATGGTTTTTGTGAGATAAAGTTCACTCGCTTAATTATTTAAGCAATACTATTAAAGACCTGATAATTATAACCAGAATCTCCCGACAGAGAGCGAGATAAATGTATATACATCTATACGGGATTGACAATCCCGCACTCAGATTGTTTGTTACAGTTTGGTTGTATGCCTGTGAGTGAGAAATGTCGTTACAATTCTAAACGCTCGTAAAGCGTGTATCAGGCTTAATAGTCTTAG